ACCAAGAAATCATTATTTGCCTGGTTGCATATGTCTATAATATATATGTATAATATATATATATACACTATTATATATACTATATTATATAGAATATCAAATATCAGAGTAAATACAATGTGTATTAATGTGTTAAATATGACTACAGTATATTATATATATATAACTCATATACATAAGCACATGTATGAACATACATATATCATATGTGTATGACGAGTATGAATCATGTAATTATCTAATATTATATGCAAAGAAAACAAGGAAACGTGCAACCTGTAAACAGTAAAAAAAAACCTTCACCTTCAACCGCCTTCAACAGGAAACTATTTCATCTGGGGACTCACCACCGGAACACCGCAACCTTCACAAGAAGACTTATGTAAACACTACTAAAACATTACTAAAACCACAGGAAGCGCTCCCCCCGATAATATAGTAAGGTGGTTTATAACTCTTATGATAGGTATATCATGATAGTTCCACCAGAAATCCAATGGTTAGCCTACTGAAATAAACCAACTTGCCTATCAAAATCCTTTCAAGTATAGATTTCAAGAATTCTATGAACATCTGGACACATCGAAATTCCAGACTTTTTAGACGTTTACGGATCTTCGTCAGAATATCTTCCGCCACTTTGGCCAAGACGCGATGTAACCCAGTTGTTGCCTGGTGGCTTGCCACTGGGGCAGAGAAAAACATTGGGGAGTTAAGCAACACAAATGGGATATGAATGCGCTATGAAAGGTGGCAAATATGCTGGCAGCCAAATATGTTCAACACATGTGAACTTCCTGAAAAGAAGCAAAATATGGAAAACTCATGAAAAAACATCAAGAAGTGTACTGTGAACTATTGTGATGATCTGCGGAAATGTTCCTGGAACCATCTGGAAGCCACTTGATGACAGCTACTGAAAGCCTGACCACCAAGATTCTCATGCTTCAGTGGCGAACCCTGGCGCTGGATCAACAAAAGCCTGAATTCAACAAAGAACATGACGTGACGTTCATCTAATCAACACAAACATGTCGATGTACAAAAAAAAGTCCGAGGACTACTTCAGCCTCCAATCCCTCCATCTTTTCGAAACCAAAGTACTGGGTTCGCAAGATCTCGAAGAATTTGGCTCCCAGAAGTTTGTCCAACAACATGACGTGCATTTCATCCTCCAAACCCTCAGGTAGCTGCAGCTTCATCATCACCTTAGGGACGCAGATACAGGCAGACTGGCAGAACTGTGGCTTCTACCCTCCAGTACCCATTGAGTACTTCGATGACCATTGAAATCTCCAGCTATACTTCGGGATACTTCGGGTATGTGCGGCCCGCCATCTTTGATTTCGATGGTGACTAATTATCGTTAAATCATGTGAAATCTCAAAAAAAAAAAAACAAAAAATCCAACCAACAATCCACTGAAAATCGGCAAAACTCCACTGAAAATCGGCAAATCCCTCCACATCCCTCCACTCTCCGAGCCAAAAAAAAGGCCAAGGCGCCGCGTGGTTTGGGTCATCCACATCTGCGCTGTCGAGTTCCCATAAGGTGCTCCCCGTGGGAAAGGCCGCTTCGGCCCGGTAGGGCAGGCCTTCAGCTCATGGAGGTGATCACAACCCACTATTTACCCATTGAAAATGGTGATTTAATGGGGATTTTATGGGATTTTAATGGGATTTTTATGTGTTAATGGGATTAATGGAACTTACCCTCTGGTTATGTTAACAGTTTGCTATTGAAAATGGCCATTTATAATGGGATTAATGGGTATTACCCATTAATAGCATGGTGATTTTCCATAGTTTCGTGGCTGTTTACCAGAGGGTACTGAATTGAAGAACTTAAGAAGTTCAAACCGCGATTGCCAAACCATTTCCTGGGAAAAAAATATTTGTATATTTGGGTATACCATGGTATATCCACATGTGGCAGCCTTGGAATCCAACTTTTGTCATCGCGATCCTCTCAAATGGGATGCTTCACACCCTCATTGAAGGAAAAAAACAGTTTTAATAGGTAAATCATCTGTAAATGGGCCATTTTCCATAGCTCTGTTAAATGACCAGAGAAATCCAGAGGGTAAAGGTACTTTTCCAAGACTTTACACCCATAAGATCGTTCTTGACCCCAATCTCAACGTCATGAGTCTTAGAATCCATGAGAACCACACAGACATTAGATTTATCTGCAACTCCAATTTCAATGCAAAACCATGAGAGATTTTATCACACAGCCATATCTCAACTGGGAAAATCCTGGAAATGGAACTGGAAATCATGTGGTAAAGCCAGTGACTCAATAGTAAACCACCAGTTGAGGGATGGTTTTCATGTTTTGCAACCCATTTCCGGCGGGATGGGCTTTAGCATTCTACACTTGGCTTTATGATATTCTAGCAACCACCAAAACTAGAAAAGTGAAATCCTATACTTGAAATAGTGATGAATCTAACCTGTTCAATCTTTCTTGGGGGTTACTATAAGCAATTTCTTGCGGTGCTGTCCTTTTACCCATCAAGCCACATGGCATCGCCAAGGCACTTTTCAGCGGCTTGGTCAGCTTCAATCCCTGATAGATCCGTCAAGGGTCCCCGAGGTTGAAAAGTTTGGCCGACAAAGAGCTTGGGTGTTTTCAATGGTCCATAAACAAAAAAAACAATGCGATGAAATCTATGTATGTTCATTGTAGTAGTCTATATAAGTATTGTTAGTCGACTAATATATCCCCATTATATCTCCATTATATCCCGATTATTTTCAATGGCCCATTCAGGTACATAAAGTTGAGGTACTGTACCATTTCTCAGGCAATATATTATTGTGGGGATATTCCCTTACATAGGCCTCACATACACGGTTTGGATCTTTAGCCAACCATTGAATAGGATACCATAGGCATACAATGTATACACATGAAGCAACCAGTGTTGGTGAACTCCACATGTGTCATATACTGTGGCTAAACCCAAATGATGTCGACATACTTTCCAATGGTCAAATCTTTCCGTTTTTCTTGCAAAATTCATATTGTTCATGATTCACCCCTATATTTTTCTGCCAAAATCCCATTTTTTTGCCAGGTAAAACATGGTAAAACGCCCAGTAAAAGCAACGATTCGTCCGCCCCCGACTTCACCATTTTGCCCCCCGCGCGCCGTGACCAGCTTGTTGGAAAGCTGCTTTGCATCGTTGCTGGTGAGATTTCCCAAGGCAAGGACCTGAGCTGCGGGGCGACTACCTGCAACTGGACAGTTGCGACGTGGTGATGGGAAGATTGGTGATTTGAATGGGATTTTACCAGCAAAAATCACGAGTTCATGGGATTTCATGGGATTTTGTTCTCTAAGTATCTAAGTTCGCGCAAATACCTGGTATAACTAGGGGTTCCTGGTTTATGGTAGATAAATCATGTCTATTTAGAATTGGGTTTATAAATCAACCTATACCATCCGGGAGCACCTGGGATTCTAGGACCCAACTTTGGCATAGTTTCGCCCAGATTTGGGGATCATCCAACCATAATGGATGATTTTTCATAGGATCTGAATTGGTATACATACATAATTAAGAGTAAGGGTATATATAATATATGTATATTGTTTTTGTTGTTTCTTGATCGTTTCTTTTTCGTTTCTTTTTTTCTAAGGAAAAATGAAGATTTGGGTTTCCGGAGTCTTCCGAGGAAAAACACACAAAAAAACAAAGACAAAGCACACCCTGACGCAATTTGTTTCTTTTTGTTCTTTTCATTTTATATTTTTTGGTGGCATGTTTTTTGTTGTTCGTTTTTGTCAAAATAATAATCATTTTCAATTTTCCCATGAATGCATGCCTCGAGACGTCTTAACTGTATGGCTTAAATCAATTGAAGTGAAGAATTGATTGCCGTTTGAATGGGTTTTTTACATAGCACCTATAGAAAAATCATAGACCAATGATCGAAGAAAAAACCACGAACCTCATTTCATCAGCATTTTGGGTGGATAAGTTCACCCCACTTCGTTCGCAAAAAAAAAAAACTCCGGGGACTTCGGGTAATCCCCTGGGCATTCCCAATGGAAAGTCATTCAAAATTCCATGGTTCCAGTCAGCACCAGCCAGTTATGGGTACTTGGATTGCCTGGGTAGAAATAAAAGGACCTATATAACGATAATTTACTACAGACTTGGTTCCCACAAAAGTTGTAAGCCGTACGCTATCCAAGCGATACCATGACCAGATATAGTTGCAGCAGTGTTGGAATGTACAAGACCAGCTATTTTCCAAGTCTGGGTCCGGATATGGGGCCCTAAGAAAACTCTCAAACCATCTGGCTTTGGTCAAGTGATTACCACCAAAAGACCAGGTATAAAAAACATTCAACATGACTAGTCACAATCTGTGGCTTTCCAGGCCTTCCATGTTGGGAAATTGCTCCTCAACTCCTTCATTTGCTATGGGTATATGGATAACTAAGCCACCTGGTGTCAGGTTTTGCTCGTCCCACCTCAACATGCGCTCCGTCCACGAAGAGACTTTGGCACAAGTTGTCCAAGTCATTCCTGTTGCAACATTGACTTAGTTGTCGCCGAGCTGAGTACAAACCATGTAGTTAAGAATAACATATTTATAAAACGCACATTTACAATCATTTACATATATTATTAGTATGGTTATTGTCATTATGAATATTAGATATCATTAGTGTTACTTTATTTTAAATGGTTGTTACTATAAGTACTATTATTACTATTTTTATGACTATACTAGTATTGTCAATACTATGATCATTATTGTTGCTACTAATATGATATACATATACATATTATACATATAAATATGTATATATATATATATACATCCCAAAACAAATTACAAGGTCAGGTCTGATGGTTCAAGCAAAATCAAACATCATTTAGGCTGAGTTTGTGATGATGTCGCTAGTTGCATCATCCAGATCTCATCTCGCCTATGTTGGAGGCTGCTCTTCATCCCACACATCGCTAGCTGCTAAGGCTGGGAATCCCCTGGTGAATGGACTGTTTAAGTATGAAAAAGTGGACGAATCCATCACCAATGATTCTTGGTCATATCTTCATCATATCCTAGTAAAAATTATGTGGCAGTGTGTCAAAACCTTGTACCCTGGTGAACATCAAAATAGCTTGTAAATAGATGTTCATCCCACTAAAAATAGTATCTATAGGTATTGACCCATACCCATGTCTCTAATACATACCCCTAGAAAAAAGGTGACAATCAAAAATTGCGGCTGAACCCTGGCTGGCTTTCCTGGAACCCTGGATTTGCTCCCAAAAAAAAATCCCAAACCAGATTCCAGGTACCCTCTGGTTATGACTAACATAGCTATTGAAAATTGCCATTTATAGTTGATTTACCTATAAAAAATGGTGATTTTCTATAGTTATGTGGCTGTTTACCAGAGGCTATCAGTTCATAAGGCCGTTAATAACCCCAGGCGACCTGGGTGACCTGTACCACGATCGCCCAGCCTCTGAACCTTTGGCAGAGTCTCCAAGAGTTCTAGGGCCTCCAGTCGTCCAGGCCAGTGGGACCAAAGGGCTGGAAATTCACCACTTTGCTACGAGAAAAACAACCATGTTTCTGATATTAATAGGCAAAAAAACTCGAACTCAATGAGCAAATTATCCATAACTATATATATATATATAATGCTATATACCCCAACTAAAGCCTTGATAATCATGGGATGAACCTTTTCAAAGATGATTTTTATGGGTGGTTTCTGGGATTTTTTTCGGTTGACCATACGTACCTGGGGATAACTGGCTTCACAAATGGTGAATACCTGGCTTTATAATTTCTTCACAACTGGTAAACTGGTTTTCATACAGTAGTCGCATTTGAGGACTAAGTGACCAGCATTCGCCACTCACTGGGATGATCATCGACCACTTCCATCCTATTACACCAACAGCTAGAACATGAAAAAGCCGAAGAACACCAAAACAACAATAATGAGGTTGATATGAGTTGATTAGTGTATGCAACATCACCAGGAATACACCCTGGTGTACCGTGTACCAACTAACTACCTCAAGACACTGTGAATCAGGCTGTTGTCGATCTCCTGGTTTCAAGATCAACCCCGGGAGGCCCTCCAATAGGTTTGTCCGAAAATGGGCTGCCTCCAATCCAGTGGCAGATCATCAGTTTCCCCCATTGCAATGGTCTCGTGGGGACCCAATTTTCAGAGGAACCCATTTTGAGATGGATTACTTCGCTGCAGTGATGATGGAAACACAAAACCCAATTAAACCCAATTCCATTCACTGGTGGATCCTCGTTACACGGATCAAAATTGCAAAAAAAAATGCCACAGATTCAGGGTATACCTCATGTGCAAACGAACACATTTCCAAGAGTTGTTGGTGATATCCCACTATATTGCCATAAGTCCCATTCAATCCCACTAACATCCCATTAAATTCCAGGATTTTCCTCTTAAATCCCCATTAATCCAACAAAAAAAAAATACCCAAAGCCCTGAGAACTTAAATCATTTTTTGGTGCACAAATGTAGGCAAAACCCGTTCATTTTCTTGGCAAATTTGTGCATTAATCCACAAATTTAACATAATTCAATATACTGAATAAGCCCAGCTGAACATAATCTCCGCAACACAAACCACTATTCAAACTTACACATTTTTGGTGAAACTTCGCAGACGCTGTTTTAGTTTACATAGGCTAGCACTTATCAGGCGTGTATCTCAGCTTGAAGTGGTTGCCCCACCAAGCCGGTCACCCGAGTCCATCACAAGAGACCCACTTGCTCGGCTAGTGAAACAAACCAAATTACCTGGAAAATATCTTGCTTCTGTATCCTTTTTGACCCATGTGTTTCTGTGTTTTGTTGGGTCAACACATGTTGTTTCTATAGGTGTTTTTTCTATGTTGCATAAATGCCTGTTTCTTTCTGTGTCTTCGTTTGCAAACACTTGTTTTTTTTCTTGTTTTGGGGCCCCAGTCCGAAAGTTTGGAAAAGTTTGGATGGGATTTTCTCCTCGACTTTCCACCGCTGGGAAGCTAAGCTGCTGTCCCAGGTGCTGGGAACGAACTGCCACGGTTCAGGAGATCCTGGAAGCGCATCTGAGCTTGCGAGATGGGCTGCGAATGGTAGGCCTGGCAGCAAGGTCGCAACAGCAAGATGGCGCTGGGAGGAAAAAATCATAAGAAAGTTTATTCCCTCTGGTTATTTAACATAGCCATGGAACCATCCACCATGTTTAATAGGTAAACCATCTATAAATGGGCCATCTATACCATGGCTATGTTAAATAACCAGAGGGTTCGCTGATATTGGGAGATATTTTTTTCTTCACAGCTTGCGCGGAAACGCTGCCTGATTACGAAGGTCATCTCCAAAAGTATCCAGGATAATGCCTCAAATGGTCAGGAACCACCCACTGCGAAAAGGGAAAAGGCTCAAATTATGTCCAATTGATTTGCCCTGAACCAGCTGACAGTAAGAAGAGATTGTTGCTTTTGTGCATTTATTTTTGCTATATAGTGAAATCCATATAGATGTGTATATATATACATTAATATATATATATATATATATATTCATATATATATATTCATATATATAATTGTGTATGTACGTATATGTATATGTATATGTATATATATATATATATTAGGATGGCATGTCTTAGGCCACTTCTTGCCTTCGGAATCTGTGAAAATCTTCAGAAACAAACTGCTACAGTGGATCAAAACAGTAAGCAGCACCTGGAATTTGACATCAAAACTAGTTAGTTTGGTTCTCAGAGTTCATCCCCCTCCAAATACAGAAAAAAACACATATATATATATATATACCATCTGGTTATTTAACATAGCCATGGAACCATCCACCATTTTTAATAGGTAAACCATCTATAAATGGGTCATTTTCCATGGCTATGTTAAATAACCAGATGGTATAATAATGGTATCCATCCACGCTCTCAAATGTGCCTAGGTTTGTTCGGAAAATATCCATTCTTGGTGTGGTCAAAATTCAAGTTTTTGATGGTAACAATCCACCTGTTTGGTGGTCAAAATCCCAGCAAGCTAGTGATCAAATTCATTGCTCAAAGTGAGTTCCCGAACTTTGATGAAATCTCCAGCTAAAACATCAAAACCTCATCTTACTTTGTGGTGCCAAAATCTAAAAAAACATCTGACCGTCAAGCTGAAATTAGGTCCGGACGATTTCACCTACCATCATCCATAGTGACATCGGCCAACGTCCAGCGCCAGAAACCTCCAAATCCCATGAAATTCCTATCAGAAAATGAACATCTCTCTACGACATCCCCATTAGAATATCAAAATCCACCACGAATTAAGGAATTTCCCATCTATTTCTGTACATCCCCATGAAAATCCCCACAACAATCACCATGGAAATTCTTGCGAACAGCGGCCGAAGATGTGTTCCGGCACGCTGGTCATGGAGACCATCTTGTCAGTCACTGCCTCCAGGGATGGATTTTTGGACCCAGCAAGTTGGGACTTTACCAGCCAAATATGGTGATTTCGAATGGGAATGGGAGTTCTTCGTTGGCGAAGTAACAACAAATCCATTAAAAAATCCAGGGTTTTAATCCATAAAAATCCAGGGTTTTATAATCCAATAACCAGGGTTTTATACGTTTTCATATCGAAAAAGTGGAGCTTTCCCCAGCGTTTTTAAGTTGGGAGATTCCATATAAAATCGCCACAGGCCCGATGCCTCCAGGAGCACATGAAGTTTGTCGTTGAAACCACTGAGTGCCTGGAGCTGAGGGATCACAGAAAGGTTCAAAGAGATACCCTCTGGTGGTTTAATGGGATTTTATGGTGGTTTAATGGGATTTTATGGTGGTTTAATGGGATTTTATGGTGGTTTAATGGGATTTTATGGTGGTTTAATGGGATTTTATGGTGGTTTAATGCGATTTTATGGTGGTTTATAATAGGATCTAATGGGATTTAATGGGATTTAATGGGATTTTACCCTCTGGCAAACATTTACATAGCCATGGAAAGATCCACCATTTTTAAGAACGGTAAACCATCTATTTCTATGGGCCATCTATAACATGGCTATGTTAGTCATAACCAGAGGGTAAGTTGCACAAAGACATGTCAAAACAACATGTTAATAATGAGATATGACAATTATAGTTTGTGAGATGTGACATCTCAAAATCATGTGCTGACAAACATTGATGGTTTATGATATATGATATATGTATCAAAACAAATAACTATCACGTAGGGTTGATGAAAGGAACTATCATCGTATGATGTCATTGAACACAAAACACTATTGTTTTTGTTGTTGTTTCTTTAATCAAACTTGAACCTGCAAGAACCTGAAACAGATGGTATTGCAATTGCATTGGGATACAGCGTGTCGCTGGATGTTCGACGTGGCTAGGCATGTAGCTATGGACCAATAAGTGGAACATGTCATGATATAACTGTGATCTCGTCTGGATCTTATCATGACTGCAGTAATATAAGATGCTATCATGATAACGTATCACATGCACTAGCCGTTCTTGAAGAACTTTAACACCTATCCTGGTCCTAAAGGTCGAGGTCAATGAAGCAGGGAGGATGTATCTCCAGGGATTAGTAGTTTAACATTCCCATTTATGGCAATATATATGTACTAATGTATATATATATATTTAAGTACTAAACTACTCATCCAAGGTCGACCCATATAGGTTCTGCATTTTCTTTCTGCTGATTTTTTTTGCTACCCAGCGGGAAACAAACATGGCATGTTTTGAGGCAAGGCCTTGCAATCCAAGAGCATCCAGAAACCATTGGAATGTCGATGTTTTCACAAAACTTTCTCAAGTTGAAGGCCTTAGCTTTAGAGACATACCATGTCAACATTCACGACCAACAGTTGATGACAGTACAGAAACTGTCATGGAACTGGTTGGTTGCTTGGTGAAAACCATAACTTCAATGTACATCAAGTTTTCCCAGTTAGAAACTGGCTTAGGAACCCCATTATATAACTAGTTCGTTATATCACGTTATATTATGTTAAATATCCCCATAATCAACCATCAGAGTATACCATAATTCGTCAACTTATGCGATGTACAACAAGTTATTGATACTAATCTTCATACCCGAGTATATATCATATTAACATATATTAACCATATTTAACCATTTAGTAAGTCATATATCTTAACCATATATCTATTAACCAATTACTAACCATGTCTTCCTTCATCTAGCTTGTTATGGGACCCCTCAAGCTAACCAGAGTTCATCCCATCAAGTTATGGTATCCCAGTCAACTTAACTTACCCGGCCTGGTAAAATAACAGTTTGCGAACTGGAAAATCACCATGCTATTAATGGGTAGTCATCAATTATTTCGATGGCCATTTTCTATGTCGCAAACTGTTAGTCATTACCAGAGGGTAACTTACAATAAAACCTCAAGGGACCCAAAATGAGCAGATTAATAGATCCAAAACACTTCACCATGGCTTCATGAGAAAGTCCTTATTCTTACTGGCTCTGCATGGCTTCGCACTAAGGAGAAGGCCATTTTCAAACAGCCACCGCTCAGCTGTATCCTGCCAAGGGATTCCCAGATGATGAGAATCCTCCCCTCCGTAGAATCCTAGGGTAGTATCAGACTCGAACTAATCAAGCATCACTTATTCACTTATCATCTTATATCATCTTATATCCACCTATATCTATATCCACCTATATCTCCATATAAATTGATGCTAAAAACGTCTTAAAAGCACTGTGAACTGACGATTTGTTCATCTACTGTCGCTTCGAACAAACGTGCCAAGGAGGGCGAGTATCCCATTCCAGCAATCTGAGCATCGTAGGCATAGTCCTGTAGGGCCTGAAGTGTTGGGAGGATAACCACAAGGACCGGACAGAGAGCAACACACCAAAACAGTCACAGAGGATCCAGGAAAACCACCAAGAAATGGATTTAAGGTGGTTTAATTCACCAAAAACATGGGATTCAACAGGATTTACCCCTTGGTATCCCTTGGTTTAAGACTTTGCCATGGAGCTGGGGGACCCATTTTCTCGACGAGAGTATGGCCCCATGGCCATGGCTCCCATGGCGATGTTCTACGAGGATATCTACTGCTTGGTGGTTGAGCCCTACCCCACTGAAAAATCATGAACGAAGCGTCAGTTGGGATGATTCATTCCCAAAATATGATGGGAAAGTCATGAAATTCCATGGTTCCAAAGCACCAGATGAATATGTCTGACTGAGTCTGATGATTTTTACGTAGATTCAATTGATCATACGAGGCCTTGACGATTTGGGATCAAGACATGACATAATTGGAAGCCCAAACACCACGGCACAGTGGGTTCCAAAAGCATCGTTAAAGTCCATTAAGACAACTGCCAGACTTAGATATGCAATTCTCTATATAATCCCTCATCGTTAAGAGGATAAAAATATTGAAAACACATACGTATTCAACTGCAAAGGACCAGCCTCAAATATCCTTAGATGTATGTCTCAAAATAGGTTGCCCCAAAATTGCAGTGCATAATTATCATCATCATCATCATCATCATCATCATCATCATCATGATCATGATCATGTTCCCTTTCCCATAGTTTCCTCATTCACAGAGCCATAATAACTCGATGGGATTCAGCCCTGCACCTCCTCCACACAATTGGACCACAGGGCTGTCTTGAGATAGCTGGACACATCCTCAGTGGGAGAGCCGCGCCGTGGTTTTTTCCTTTCGTATTTGATAAGGTGCAGCTAAGGTGATTTTGATAAGATTTGATACGTATATCTGACATATCCCTGGGATTTTATGGGATTTTAACATTTGGAAAACTCCACAACTTGGAGTGCCCCAGAACCCCCATGGCACCCCAGAAACTATGGTTACCCTCTGGCCATTGGATATATTTTTCACAGGAACATCATCCCCTGAGCCTGCGACCTGGTGGAAGTAGGGCGAATAGATGTAGAAAGTCACTTGTGCCTCTCAGGAATCAGTTTTGCTCCTGGAGATATGTTGTGGCAGATTTTCTGTTTTGCCATTTGATGCTGATTTTTCTTCGGCTAAACGTTTTATTTCATCAGCCCATGGCTAGCCTTCGGTAGTCAAACATGGCTAGCTGTTCAATGGGACAACTATCGGAGATTCTCCATATATTGCCACGTTGGATTCCCGGAGATATGGAGATTGCTACCGTTGCTTGCTACCCCATAGAGAACGCTACCCTCTGGTTATGTCAAAATAGCTATTGAAAATGGTCATTTATATCATAGAAATAGTCGATTTACCCATTAATAGCATGGTGGATCTTTCCAGTTCGCAAACTGTCGCTGTTTACCAGGCCGGGTATATATCACATAACATCCATTTTTATATATCTCTTGAGGATCCGAGGTCGGAACATGGGTGTAACAACCAAGCTCTGGGTGGCTGTGATTTCGACAAAAAAAAAAACGCCAGAGATTCCCCGGTGGAGACCATCATGAGTTGGGGCCTCTGTGGGGCAAATTTCTTTTTTCATGGACATCAACAGGCCCATCAACATACATGAAAACTGGTTGGTGGTTGGTACGCCCTACCCCTCTGAAAAATGATGGAGTTAAAGTCAGTTGGGATGATGACATGACCCCAATATGATGGGAAAAATAATCCACATGTCCAATTTGTAACCCGCATTGATTCCATCCTCTTCTTTGCCCAGAAAATCATCCCTGTGTTTGTCGCTGGCAAAATCGCCCCGAGCTTTCCACAATTGGCTTCAGCTTAGCTGAACAACACATGCTCCGACCTTCATGGGTAATCTTGGATAGCCTGCTTTCAGAAGACTTCGGCGAGACCAGTTATGTTGTATTCCCCCCATATGATCACATATACATCTGTTTTACAAAAGAAAGAACTAGTAACAGCCAACAAGTGACCAATTAACTCCTCCACCAAAGTCATCCAACATAATGACCTATAATTATAATATATTATAATTACATCACATCATCACCACATCATATTAGCATGTATTACCATATCAAACATATGACATAACCAAATTTCCCCGAAGAGAGAATTGAGATCAACCCTGTTTCTTCGACCCAGGCCTTTGGCTGTTTGAAGAGATCATCCTGTCGGTGGAAGATGGACACCCCTGACTCTACACTCAGCAGCTGAGGTACGACCTCGGCTTGGCGGCGGCAGTCGTTGAAGAAATCCGTGGTACATCTGAGGTGTTTCTTGGAGGATCATTGCAAGAGACCAGATTACTTAGTTGGAAGTTGGAACCCAGCTATATGTTGGTTATCCTTATCATACTTATATATAATTATCATGATAATTCCGAATAATTCGGAATCACAGTTGGGTACTTGAAGATACTTGAAGTACTTGCATCATTGATCCCGGTGAAACCCAGGATTTGGAGACTGTTTCAGCTGGTGACTTATTGAGGGATACATCCTTTTAAAATATGGAATATCCATTTAACAAAAGCATGGAATAGCCTGTGGTAAACTAAGATAACCATGGAAAATCACCATTTTAATGATTAAGATCAACGAATTAAATGGACCATTTCCATGGCAAACTGCTAAATATGTTAAATTACCAGAGGGTATCTATTCACATGAGGTATAGGAGTTCCTATGCCCCTCATCATGCTACTACTCCTTTAACTTGTCTTCGTTCTACCAACGTCTACAACACTATGTTTTTAATAAGCTAAACAAACGTGATCCAATCAACAAACGGCCAACCTTAAACCAATAGGCCTGCATTTCACCAACCAGAAAGATCTTCAACTCTGATCAACTCCCTGGAAAAACAGAAAAAACAACCGCAACATGGAACCGCACGTGACTGGGGATTTTTAAGCGCAGTTCCATGTTGGTTCCGCACAAAAAAAAACATCTTTTTCGGGACATCCCGGTGTTTGTGTTCAATCAGAGTCAGCCACTCCATATGCAGAAAATAAATCATCCTAAATCATCCTAAATCATCCTAAATCATCCTAAATCCACCTCCAGAAGTTTGATTTGTAGCCCACCAAATAGTTTAACAGTTTACCGTTGAATCTTTGGGATAATTCCAGGGGTTGGTTATCCCTTTTTTGGGTTATCTGCTGGAGATTGTATCCCCATTTTTGTTGGGGTAAAAAGTGAAAAAAAGAACCCATGGAGATAGTATGATATAGTATGATATAGTATGATATAGTATGATATAGTATGATATAGTATGATATAGTATAGTAATATAGTATTATATCTATATAATATAGTATTTTACCAACCCATGCAATGCCGAAAAGAACCTCATTTATCAAATATACAGGGAGCGCTCGCCCCCCTAGCCGTCGCTACAGCCGCGACGTTTCCGTCGGAGCTCCCTGCCGGATTGTCTGCGGGAGCGGGTTTTAAGCTCAGATCCTGGAGCTTGAAGAATTGCGGTGACAAGGGGTATGCTCCACCCAGTTATGGTTTGGTCTATAGTATATACATATATCATATAATCATACTATATTATATAGATATCATATCATTGTACTATAGTATATAGATATATCATATCATTATACTATAGTATATAGATATATCATATCATTATGCTATAGATATATCATTATACAATATTATATCTATAGAAGCTCAAGTTGTCTTGGTTCACCAACTTTGACTGTGGGACACCTGGTGAAAACACTGGTGCTTCATCCTGGGGAATGTCCCATTGATTCTGATAATCATGTTGAGGAGAAATTCATGTTACCCTCTGGTTATTTAACATAGCCATTGGTATAGATGGCCCATAGAAATAGATGGTTTACCTATTATTATAAATGGTGATTTTCAATGGCTAACTGTTAAATAACCAGAGGCTAATTCTATTTCGAACTATGTAGATATATTAAATCACTAGAAATTTTGTGAGATATATTAAGATATATTGCTGGTTGGTGGTTGAGCCACCTACCCCTCTGAAAAATGATGGAGTGAAAGTCAGTTGGGATGATGATTCCCAACTGAATGGAAAAAACATGTGTTCCAAACCACTCACCAACCAGTATATAATATATATATATTACATGGAAAGAATGGGTGACCTCAAACCCAGGATGATGAGTTTTTGCCTGTCGTCCTTCTCATTCACGATGTTGCTGCGCACAAACAATTTGGGACACAGTAAAAACAATGTGTGCATGCATTGTCCGATTGATGAACTGAACCCCTCAAACCAAAAAAAAATAGCCCCTTAGGGTACATGGCCATGCCAACATAGTCCACATTTTTTGTTGGTAAACTTCCCATTTGTATAGTTTGACCACATCCAGATCCATTTATCTGGATAAATTACTATGATTCACCTGAAAAGTGGAACCATAACAGGGACAGCGCTCGCCCAATCCTAACCACCCTCTACGTCGTGACGTCGCGACATTAGCAGTCGTAAACTTATCATTTATGGTGTCATCCCATTGAACCCGCCCTATTCCCATTACCTCCCGATGATATTCCCCTTAAATCCCATTGCATTCCCATGAAATCCCATTAAAATAGCATGAAATCCCATCAAATCCCCTTAAATCCCATTATTATTCACATAAAATCCCACTACATCTCCATTGTAATCTCCACCATCGGCCAGGGTTTTCTGCCGCGGCTCCTCTGGAATGAAGGGGTTAGGCCTTGGAAGATAAATGAAGCACAGATCGCTTGACACTAAGAACCGAGTATCTCCAAAGACCAAGACTTCTGAAAAAACAATCAGTGATAGACAATAATACATCGATATAAACGCATATGTATATATATATATATATATATACAAGTATTGCATGTATACAGTACACATATACACATAGACACATATACATATATACATATATACATATATACATATATACATATACATATATATATATATACATATATACATATATACATATATACATATATACACATATACATATATACACATATACATACTGATGATAAAAATTATCAAAACATATTTTGAAGATCACTTGAGTCCAACTGATGGCTTTGAAACAGCCCTTTCTCGCCACCTCCCACAGCAAACATGATGTTTGAAGTCAACATTAAAATTGTTAATCAATTTCAACTCCCGACCACAGTATGCCAATCTTGCTGGAATCACTTATAAATGAGTTAACATGGAAGAATTTATCTGGATGTCCCAAGTTTTCAATTAGTGCCTTACCCAATTGCTTCCCAAGGATTTCAAAAAAACATCTATGATTTTTTTGTTTCGCACATTTCCCCAATCTTCCCATGGATTTCACAGGGGGATTTCGCAAAAAAAAGAGCCAAGCGTCGGGGGCAAATGAAGTCCCATCTTCGTTGCGATGTCCTTTGACTCCTGCAGAATCTGCTGGAATTTTGGATGGTTAAATCATGTTAAATCCCACAGTTTTTTCTTGGCGCCAGGATGGTGAAATTCCTTGAAATGACTGGTTGGTGGTTTTTCGCCCTACCCCTCTGAAAAATGATGGACTTCGTCTGATGACTTTCCCAATATATGGAAAAATAAAATTCATGTTCCAAACCACCAACCAGATCCTATGGTTTTCCTATGGTTTTCCCATGGTTTTCCTATGGTTTTCCTATGGTTTTCCGGTAATTGTATTGTTTTCCGGTAGTCGAACCTGGCAGCCGATTCCGCAGAGAAATCTATGCGTTTCGTTGATGCCATGTTCAAAGGAAGAACCGTGACTAGGTCGTTGATATCTGGATCCATTGGTTCCATACAGAATCTGCCAACAAAGGGATATCAACCAACTCTCCCCTAAAACGGATAGCCATATTTGTTCATATCCATGTTGCATGATCATTGGTTGATAGTCCAATCACTCCAACATACCAATTGTCTAGGTCCTTTGGTATAGAAACTCCACCAAAAAACATGCCGAATAGTAAAATCCTACCACATAAATAGTAGTAAATTGACGTAAATTGATGTAAATTGATATAAATTGATGAAAATCTATATGGCAGTGTGTCAAAACCAATAGTACCCCTGTAGTTCACATCAAAATAGCTGGGATTTATGGATGTTCATCCCACTAAAAATGGTATTAATAGGTATTGATCCATACCCATATATGTGATTTTGTTTGGGGTTCCCCCAGTGACCTGTCCCTTCCAAAAATCGTCTCCTCCAAAGTTCCAGTGGCTCGCAAGGCACCGGCCCAGCACTCCTGGTACGAAAAGCTGGCGCTTTTAAAAGGCCGATCCCAGGTGCCACAAATTGTGGTATCCTCAGTACCCTTCAAAGAAAATACCGCCCACACCTGGAGTTATTTATATGTTCAATAGAAAAATCATGTTCCGGTATGTTCCCCATTCGATCATATGACATAGATCCATTAAACAAATGCAATATGGGTTGCGCCAGGGCCATTGATCCCATGCCATCAGGGTTTCTATTGGGGATATAGTTCATGAAGGCAAGGATTACCATCTGGTTATGACTAACAGTTTGCCATGGAAAATCCCTACCATAAATGGAGGTTTATAGCTGGGAACATCTTCTATAAATGGGCTATTTTCCATGGCTATGTTAAATAACCAGAGGGTACAAACAAGTGTGCAGCACATGCGGAATGAGCTGCAAGCGGATGGAATGAGGAAGTCACCCTTTGGCGGTAATCATTATGCGGATCCCCCTATACATTTACCCGGTGACGTCAGGGCAAGCATTTTCTAAAGGACCATTTATGTGGTGATTTCACAAATAAGAATGGGGTTTAGTGGAAGTATCATGGAAGCAAAATGGGATATAACTACTGGAAATTGGAATATATAATGGCATCCCTGGGATCATCATATGTTATAATGTGGTATGATCATCCATTGCATGCCACGGGAATCATTACAATGAGCATGTACCCTCTGGTAATTTAACATAGCTATTGAAAATGACCATTTATAGTGAGTTTTCCCATTAAAAATTGTGATTTTCCATAGCTATGTTAGTTTACCAGAGGGTAAATCCCTATGAAAATGGATTGCCGACCATCCCGTCATGGGTAACTTGTGACTCGACTCTCGCATGAACTCAGAGGTCCAAACGATCCATCCAAACATTCGAAAGGAAACGGAATCCCATCTCAAAAACTCGTTAGCCTCCGGTAATCTAGCACAGCTATGAAACATATCCAACTTATGGA